CTGCTACTGCTACTGCTACTAGTGACGACGACGGCTGAGGCGACTACTAGCAGCTACGATAACCTTTTACCGGTTGGCTTCAGACTAGACAGCAGTGGAAACATCAAGTGCATGCCGAGAACAATATCCAAAGCCCACTATCAGAACATCAGCATCCCACAGCCACCTTGACCACATTCTTGTTCAGGATGTCTCTTTCCCGTAGAAGGTCCTCCGTGTCGGATCAGTCGTTGAGAAACAAGTTGCTCAGGGTCAAAGTTTGAAGTTTGGGTTGACGGGTTGCAAGGGTAATGTAGGGGCCTGAATAANNAATAATTAGAATATATTAGAATAGGGTTTTGGGGTACATCGTACTATGAATAGAATAAGGAACCTCCCAGAATAGTATAGGTAGCTATTCAGGCTTCTACAGTACGAGACCTGCCTGAGGGCTTAGAGCCTCTCGCTTCTTGCCGCTGTGTTTGGCGCTTCATGGGCCAAGAGGCTGATAGAGGCTCCGAGGCGCGTCTTCTCAGAAGCCCAAGGCCTAAATCACAGAAGAAGCCGGGCGCTTCCTACTAGCTGCGATGAAAACGGGTAGATTTTTCCCCAGGCCTTTATTATGAACCCTTCTACATCCGTATACCCCCGTATAAACCCTACCCCCTCAACCTAAACCCCTACACCCCTACCCGATGGGAGACGAGGATCCTCAATCTTCTTCCTGTCCACGTCGGCATCCCTCTTTAGGACTTCCGACTTCTCCTGGCGCCAGAGCCGAAACCGGCCATCGGCTTAGCGTTCAGGGCCTTGGGTTCCGGGTAAACGGTTCAGGTTTCGGGTTTACCGTTTAAGCTTTAGGTTTAGGGTTTAGGGTTTAGGGGGGTTTAGGGTTGAGGGTTCAAGTTCTGGGGTTTGAGGCCGCATCGTCCGGGTTTGTTATTGGAACTTTGGGTGCGCCTCTGTCCAATTACAAAGCTGCCAAGCAAGAGCCCCCTTTGGAGCACCCCAGTAATGGCGACTCAACGGTCAGTACATAGGGATTGAAGCTCAACCACATGGACACAATCAAAGGCATACTTGTGGGGGAAGTACATGCCTACTTCCTCGGCCCTTCTCTTCTTCTTGCTATCTAGGCCACACAGTCCACGGCTGGCGGGAGTTGACATCTGAAACTCGAAAGCTGCCACCCAAAACCAGCGTAAGTGGTTCGGGCCCAAGTGTACACATACTCCTTTCATAAAGTGTCACAGCTACCATTGCACACAACAGGGTGACAAGCGCCAGAGGAATTGTAACCAGCCGCAATGGCAGCATTGATTGGCCGCAAATAGCCGTCGCCCAACAGTCAGTTCGAACAGTAAAGTTTTAAAGCAAGCAGAAATTAACCCGAAACCCCACAGAAGGCGCCACGCCCGAAACCCTCAGCTGTCAACGCTCCCAAGACCTTACTACACGCTGCCAAAACCCCAAGGCTCTACAGACCCAAGACGCAAAACCCGAAACCCCGAAACGCAAATTTGCTTGGGCCTGGTGGTTCTTCACATCTGATTTGAGCTCATTGCGTTTGCCTCGGAGATAGCGATGGGTCGAGCAGCCGGGGACGCGAGGCTACTTGGAGGTTGATGGGTAGCCTGCAAGGGTCCTACAGGGTTTAGGGTCTAGGGATTAGGGTCGAGGGTAGTTATAAATGGCGTTTTTAGCTCCTTAATATGGATTATAGTTGCAGCTACACGACTCATAACCCCACCTATAACTACCCATGAACCTCCAAGTAGACCCTGAATTGCCCCAAATCCTAAATCCCTACAGAACTCTTACAAGGAACCCTTACCGTATAAAGGGCCCGCTAGGGTTTAGGGTTGACGGGTTTTGGGAGTCGGGCTTGACGGGTTTAAAGTTTTGCTAGCGAAGCCACCAGGTTAAGGGTTTAGGCTTTGAGGGTTTGGAATTTAGGGTCTGCAAAAACCAGATTCCTATTCTGACCCTCATTGGGTTTGGGGTCTGGGCGTTATTGTTTCGGGGTTTGGGGTTTATGGTTTGGGAGGTTTGGGGTTTAGGGCCGGCGGAATTGAAGCTTCTGACGATGGGCTTGTGGGGAATCAATGGTGGAGGGGATTTTTTCCCTGACGCTGGCGGTCGCCCGTGTACTTTGCTAACGTTGGCTCTCTTTGTTGGTTGCAAACATTGTAAACTGCAGCAGTTGCTCCTGTTTTTCATCAAGCTATTAGGTAACTACGATTTGCAAAGTCTTGTTCTGTCCCAATCCATGGGGGGATTGCAATTTCGAGGCTCCTGTCTTGTGTCACGATGTTGGGGAACTTAATTTGCAAGGTCTTGCTTTGCGTCAAGCAAGTGGGGAATTGCAATTTGCAAGGTCCTGCTTTGCCCCAAGGTATTAGAATTTCGAGTGTCAACCGTGGGAACTCCAATTTGCAAGGCCTTGCTTTGTTTCAAGCTATTTCAAAGAGCCAGACATGCAATGTGCAAAGTCCTGTCTTGCCCCAAGCTATTGAGCTCCTGTCTTGTGTCAAACTATTCAGGAACTCCAATCTGCAAGGTCTTGCTTTGCATCAAGCAACTGCGAAGTTACAATTGGCAAGGTCGTGTCTTGCCCCAAGCTATTGGGGGATTACAACTTGCAGGGGGCGATTCCGGTTCGTCATATTTCGTAAACACGCCAAATCATGTCTCGATTCCGGTTCTCATACATCTTAAACACGCCCCTCATGTGGCGATTCCGGTTCATCATACATCTTGAACACGCCCCTCTTCACCAATTGGGCGATTCCGGTTCATCACGTTTCTTAAACGCGCCCCCTTTTTTGGCGATCCCGGTTCATCATACATCTCAAGCTTGCCCCTTCATGTGGCGATTCCGGTTCATCATATATAGTCAACATGCCCCTCCTATGACGCTTCCGGCTCATCATACTATATCTTAAACACGCTCTTCATGTGGCGATTGAAGTTCATTGTATACTTAAATCACGCTCCCCTCCCCACATTCGGCGACACCGGTTCAGCATATATCGTAAACACGCCCCCTCATCTGGCGATCCTGGTTCAATATATCTCAAACACGCCCCCTCATTTGGCGATGCAGGTTCATCACATATCTTAAACACGCCCCCTCATCATATATCTTGAACACACCCCTCATTTGCCAACTCCGATTCTGCTTGCTAAGCTGCTAAACCCGCCGCGAACTTTTCACGGACCCGCTGTCCGTGAAGTGGGGGGGCAGCCCCCCCTTTTGCAACCACAATGTCAGTCTCAGGGCTCTGAAAGGATCCATATGCGCGCAGTATTTCCTGGCAGGCGGCATAAACAAGCTGGGCAAGGGCTGACAAAGCAGCGCAAAACACTGACAGTACTTGTGTGAATCGTCTTCCTGGCGCTTTCGGGTTCGGCTGAAATGAAGCTGCCGGAAATGGGGCCAGACTGACTTCTAGTTGATCTTGTAAGGAATGGGGGGATTTCCTGCCAAGCTGAAGAGCCCGGTCTCCTCTCCTGTCGGCTCATGGGCAGCAAGGCCATCCAGCAAGCGAAGCCCGGCAAACTCGATGGGCCACAATGCAAGTCTGGGATGGTCTCATCTTTTCCCGGAGCTTTTTGCTCGGCATGCTGGAGAAACTGGTTCACGGAACAGAGCTCCATGCGTGGAATGGCAGCCAAAGCATCCAAGAGTCGGATACTTGCATTTGCCGGCACTTTGGCACCTAAGGCGAATCGCAGCGAGCCGTTTCGGGCAGCGACATTCGCGGTGGCTATGGCACCATAGGCCTTGCCAGCGTGCTTGGTGACAACGGAATTGCCAGCACAGTTGCCCTTGTCAGCACATGCGTTTCCTGATCCGTCAGAGACACCTGCGAGCACGAGAGTAGCTGCAGGAGACCAAATCATGGCGGGCACTGCCATCATTGTGGGCCCACGCTGGAACGGGGGCTTGTTGCGTGGTCTTGGCTCGCTTGGCTTGGGCTCCCTCAAGCGGATAGTGCGTGCGTACGTCCGACTGACTGCTGGTCGAAAGCTCTTGGACGGCTTGACTCGCACGTGCTGCAAGAGCCATCATGCACGAGGACTCTTGGGATCCGACAGCGGCAGGGCGCGAAGAGGCCAAAACTTCTTGAGGCTTCTGCTGGAGAAGAGAATCTCATGCAGCACACTGGAAAGCAAATGATTGGATTGTTTGTGGGGTACAGGTTTCTCTTCGAAAGTCGTTTGCTGGGCGAGCTTGGGGTCTATGGCCACCATGACGAAGCGTAGGCGACTGTTGGATTCGGAGCCCATCTCGCGTGCATACGCGCCCAACTGTGTTCCCAGCCTATCGGGCGCCCCCCCCCCTTGGCGGCGAAGGTTCATCACATACCCTCATCATGTCTTAAACATGATGAGGCTATGTGATCCCGTCATTTGGCGATTCTGGTTCATCATATATCTCATGTGCTAAACCCGCCCCAACTTCTCACGGGCCGGAGCCTGTGGCCCGCGACCCGGGCGACCGCGGCCAGCGGCGGGGCTGAAAAAGAGACCGAACACTTGGGGCCCGCAGGAAGAGGGCACCAGAGGTGAGGTGAGGTGAGGTGAACATCGACCGAGGCACGAGCCTGGCCTAACAAAAAGGCGGCCCCTCCGGCGCAAAGCCTAAACAACGACCAGCAACAGCAACACAAAAACAACAGCACGAAACGACGTCTACGTCACAGATCCCGCGAGCACGGTTACTTCGCATTTTCCGCTCACACCTCCTGCGATTTCGGTTGCCAGCTTGTCCACTCCGTGCTCGCCCGCGTGCCTCTGCATCACTGATGCCTCCTGTCCGCCTGTGGCTCCCGCCGCCCCTGGGCTGCCATGAGCGGCACCGATGCCTGCCGCCTGTCGACTCGCGTCCGGAGTAGACCCTACTCCCCGCGGTGCCGGGGCTGCCGCGAGCTGCGGACGATGGAGGGAGACCAATCATGACACCTGCCAATAGTCCCCTCGAGAGTGGCGTCCGGAGTACACCCTACTCCCGCCGCCCCCTGGACCTTTAGGCACTGTCACTCCGTTGATGGTCGAGGTGCTTAACGACGAGGAGACCTTCCCCACCTCATGCCTTAGTGCCGCCTCCGGGGTCCTCGACCACAAACCAGCAAGGTTGAACCCCAACACGGACCCGGAGGCTAGAGGGGACCAGAGACCAGGGCACCAGGGACCGGGACCCAGAAGCAATGTACCAGTATAAACCCTTCAAACCGGTCGTATTCCAACAAGCCGAAAGAGGAAGTCGCTATCAGCATAAAGAGGCCGCCGGAGTCTCATAAGTGAGGGAGCTGTACGATCCCAACTAGTCCTCCGGCTGGTGTCCAAAGCAACCAAATTGGGGTTTATAGGGATGCATGAATGTCTGCATGTTTATGCGTATGTGTATGAGTATGTACTTGTGTAGATACATGTATGCATGCATGCTCTAAGCATGGTTGCATGTATGTGTATATGTGTACATGTACATGTAAATGTATGCGTATATATATATATATGTATATGTATATGTATGCGTATGTATACGTTTATGTGTATAGATGTATAGATTTACGTATGTGCTTTTGCATATATGCATGTATATATACGCATATATGGCTGTATGTATATCTGTATATCTGTATATATGTATACATGTATATATGTACATCTGTGTATATATGTATATGTATATGAACATATATGTGTCAGCATGTGACTGTGAATGTAGGCGTATGTGTGCATATCCATGCGTGTCTGTGTATGTATGCCTACATATGTCCGTGTATGTCTGTGTATGTATGTGTTTGTATGTGTATCCATGTGCATTATATATGTATGCATATGTATGTGTATGTGTATGTGTATGTACGTGCGTATGTATTTATGGATTCATGTATGTATGCGTGGGTATGTGTAAGTGTCGGTACATACATTTATGTGTATGTGAATACGTATGTGTATGCGCATGCATATGTGGATCTATAAGTGTGTTTTGTATGTGCACGTGTGTGTGTGTGTGCATGTGCCTGTACATCTGCCCGTGCATTTGCAGTTTGCGTCTGCACACACGTGTGGATGAAGACGTGAATGTGGATGCGTGTGTGTATGTTTTCTTTGTTTGCATGTGTGCGTGTATGCATGCAGGCATGCACGCAT